AGAGGTGAAGCAAGGCAGGTTAGCCAAAAGTCTGGTAGCTGAAAGGCATGCATCATGGGTAGGCAAGCTAAGGCCCAGGGGCTGGATCAGGCCCAATCACCTTCTGAATCCGGCCCACGGATGGTCCGGGAATCAGTGTGCTTTTACCATGAGTAGAATGTGTCCTTTTATTTAAAATGCATCTCTGGGTTATTTGTGGGGCATAGGAATTTGTTCATCCCCCCCCCCAAAAAAAATAGTCCGGCCCACCGCAAGGTCTGAAGGACAGTGGACCAGCCCCCTGCTGGAAAAGTTTGCTGACCCCTCGCATACATTGTTTTAGTAGCTACGAAACCTCAGCTAAGAATTGGTGTAGTTTCTGCACAGAATCAGATGCAAGCACTTAGTCCTGCTATTGAGCAGAGTTAGAAACTGAGATATGAAAGCTAGGAGCTAAATGGCACCTTAAACCTAGGTTATGGGTGCAACAACGGTATGTCTAGGCACGCTTTTTTAGAACAAGAATACGAAGCTGAAAATGAATGAATTGCAGCTAAAATATTAAGTTCATTTTTCACATGGTCTATTCCTTCCCCTGCAAACCCCCCTAACATTCTTTAAAAGGTATCTTCTCCAGTCTTCAGAGAGTAGCTGGAAGTGGGGAGGCAGAAAAATGTCCTCCTTTCCTTCCACTCTGTAGTTTTAATCTGAAATCTTAGGTGCAGTACTGCGCCCAGACCTCAGAAACTGCTCGTGCTAATGAAATTCCCTGTCACAAAATGCACCTAGAACAATGGGAGTTTCCAACACTGCTCTTGAAGAGCCCTTTACTCCCCAGGAGCCTCTTAACTTGTGAGCTGCTCTGTTCCAATGGGATCAGGTACATGCTCCTTTGCTGAGTGGCTGTCTGAACCTGGACTTTCTGGCATCTAAACTCTCTGGCGCTGGGAAGCCATTTGGTTCCCCTCTCTGTTTCAAAAGCAGGCTTTGTTGCATGACACCTTTCCAGTCCACAGTCTTGCATGTCCCATCCAGAATTAACAAGCACTGATTATTTACCTTCCCGTGAATGCAGGTTAGACATACGACACCCAAGCATGCTATGGCAATGTGGAAAAGATTATCACAACTGTGCTAACCAAGTGCATCCGACATCTTCCCCATATTTTCATACTTCAGAACAAAACTGGATTTGTTGGTGCCAAGGAAAAAAGTGTGCTATGCATTCTTTCCCAGGGAACACCCCACCAGGTCCATTATTACATTTTAAAAATCAATTTCCTGCCCCTCCTTTTTTTGTCCATAAGTAGACATCTCAAAAGTGGCCCCTCATGACAAATTGAAATGAAGAACCATCTACTGCCAAAGTGTGGTGAAAGAATATCTCTTTGCTGATGCCAGTCCCAGCGCACATTTACGATAGGGCAAGTATAGCACTAAAAGTAAAGTACAGTTTGCTAATTGCCTTCAGAGGCCCAGAGTTGTTCTCTCTCTCTCTCTCTCCCTCCCTCCCTCCGTCCCCTCTTAGTCATCCTATAGCCATGCAATATCCACATGTGTTTCTTCTGGTAAATCCTCATAAATCAACCTTCCCAGCCTCTATCTCACATTTATTGCTCTACTCAGAGCTCTCACCAATCAATTAAGCAAAGTTGGTATGCATCTTTTCTCTCTGGTTCAGCCATGTGTTAGGAAATCATAGGTCCCCCTCTCCTTTTTTTTTACTACAGGTTGGTATATGATTAAGCTTCAAATCAGGTTGAGAGGCATTGCCATATTCTCCACTATAAACCTCTCAGATTAATAAATTTGCTTATAAGAGATGTTGGGGAAACAAGGATAAAGGGTCATGTAAAATGGAAGAACTGGAGGAGAAAGTCCATTTATTTCCTACGGAAGGTTATTTGCACAAAACTTCAGTGGAAATGTAAATTGAAATGAAATCTCATTGCAAGTGAGATAGGCATTTCTCTGGGTGGGTAATCACAGGGGCAAGTCAGTCAATTTGTATTCACTTTGATAAGATTCTGCACTTTTAGGAAGTTGTTATGCCAAGTCAAATCATTGGTCCATCTCAGTATTGTCTGAGCTGACCAGCAGCAGTCTCCTAGGATTTGCCCGGAACTGATTGAACCTGAGAACAGCTGCATCGAAAGCATGCGCTCTTCCACTGAGCTGTGGTCCTTTTGAAGAATCCTGTGTCAATAATCTGCATTTATAAAATGCAGATATGTTCTTTGTTCAACCAGGCCTTAGGCTACCTCCCTGCTGAGGAACACATCTTAAACTTGCTCCTGTGAATGGATGGGCCATTTAAATATGAAAACTTAACTCATTCCAATGTTTCAGGTTATGAGTTTGGGAAATGTTGATTAACTCCCCATTTCTCGGCATGTACACACACACACACACACACACGTGTGTGTGTGTGTGTGTGTGTGTTTATACCCAGCAAGTCAAGAGAGGTATGGGCTACCTGGGTTCATAGGGATGATGCTGGCATTGCTGCTGACTGACTGTGTGACCTTAGCTTGCCATTTTAACCTTCTGTATGTCTAAATTATTTCCATCACACCTTAGTGGTGTGAGGTTTCACTCCATAATTCTAAAGTTCTTTGGAGACCATGCTTGGCCGTAGAAGTGCTATATAAAGCTTCTGGTGTTAATATTAGTCTGAGAAGTGGATGCCCTAACCACTTTGCCATATCCTGTCCTATTCCCCACATACACCCTTGTCCCACATTCAGTCTTGCCTTGTAATTACACCTATATAAAATAGCTATAAATGCCTGCAATAACAGAGACCTCTGTGCAAATAACCATATAAATAGGAGTCAGTAGTTGATACCAGGGGAAAAGAGAACATGACCTTGCTTTGACACAAGAGTAAAATAGTCTTCTTGCTTAGTTTTTGTGTCCCCTTTCAGAAGGCAGGAAGAGAAGCATTGTTCTGTGTTCATATTGCTGACGTGTCTACTGCTTCTGGCTGTGTGCATTCACATAAACAGATAAAAGTCAGTAGTAGTGCTGCTGAACCTTGAATACAGTTTGTGGCCATGACCAAGTGGCTGTTCTTCAGCCTCAGAGCACTAGCTGTAAAATGGCGAGTCTAATGATCTGCCATTTGTCACAGGGCTGTATGTATGTGGGAAGGAAGAATGAGGTGAGGAGTGCAAAAACGGGAGAGGCCATAACTCAGTGGCAGAGGTCATGACTTCTTCCTGTATTCTTCCTTTATGGCCCAGTCTTTACTAGAAATAGAAGGATCTGACAATTTTTGTTCTCTCAGCCTCTCTTTTTTCCAATCTTAAATTCAGTTCTCCACATTTAAGAAGCCATTTGCAAATTTTTAAACAAAGAAGGAAATCCTCATGAAACTTCTTCAGCAGTATAGTGTGTATTTTGTATCCAGTTCTGACTAATGTACACATTTTTGCAAGCCATTTCTCCTAATATAACCCATTTTTGCTTGTTATTTTCATGAATGTATTTGTCTTTATGCATACTTTAACCTAATGTACGCAGAACTGCCCCACAGAATTCAGATAAGTGTGAGTTTCAAAGGATGGCTGTGTTTTGTTCTCGTATTTACTTTAAATGCGAAATGAATCAAATTCCTTGACCATTCCTAGTCCTTACAATTAAGAGGGTTATCACATAGGTCATTTACCTGGGAGATAACAGCAGCCCAGTGCTAGAACATATGTTTTGCACACTGGAGATACCAGGGTCAGTGCTTGGCACCTTCATCTCAAAAGTGGCAGGTAATGGGACCCTGAAGCGCTGCTACCAACTGGAATAGACAGTATTGGGCTGGAGAAACAAATAGTCTGATTTGGTATAAGGTGGCTTCCTGAGTGTGCCAATGCTATGTAAGTAATAAACAAGAATTTTCTGCCTATTCCCATCTTAAATCATTTATGGACCATTTGTACAATCACACTGATGTGCTGGCAATCCCGGCCTGGCTGATGTGTGCCAGTTACTTTGCAAGAAGAACCTTTCAGAATACAACCCACATCTATGGTGCCAGCACGCAATCCACACCCAGCAGCTATCGCGACAGGTGGCGTGGCAGTGGGCACATCCTGGGGCAGCCACATGACTGCTTCACCCCACGTGCTCCGCATGGAAATGCTCAGCTCCTGTTTTCAACATGCTGGGTATGGAGATATGGATTTGATGCTATGACCGAAAAAGTGGGGTCATGTGCCAACATGCTGGATTAAGGGTGGCTGCATGTAAGGGAGTGGCCCAACTCCTGCTTACTCCATTTCCAGTGCTGGGGCAGGAGGAGAAGTGAGTCTGTGTGGAAGAATGGATAGAAATACCAGCTTATGTAAATGTGGATGACATCATCCCTTCTCCATTCTCCTGGTGCTATTTATAGCTACTTTAATTTACTCCCCTTTGCTTTATTATCTTTCCACAAGCTCTTTATCCCCAGCATTTAGCATCTCAATTGGCAAGCAGCAGCCAGCTGCATGATACAGCAGGATGCTTTTTCTCCTGATGCAGTGCAGCCTGCCTGTGTGGTGCAAACAGGGAGGAAGATGAGGGAGAAGGGGGAAGGAAAGCTTGCCTGCTCCTCTCCCTGTGTATTCCTTAGTGGGGAGTATGTTCTGTTGGGTCCGGGGATGGGGTGGAGTTTGAGACCCTGTCATAGTAATCAGGGGTTGGGCAACTCCCTGGCCAAGGGAGCAACTGTTTGGCACAGCAGGAGCTGGAAGCAAAATGAGCAGGTCTAGATTAACGGGTACTAGTCGCGGCTGATTAATTTTGATACAGTCCTATATAGCTGCCTCTTTGCCCTGCTTCTGAAGGCTTGTCTAAGGTTTGATCTAGTATAAGTCCAAAGTAACACAGACAAAATAGATAAGACTGTACATGTTGAGTGGTCTAGGGAAACACACACACATCATACCTACATTAATACAGCTTGATACCTAAGACAGAGCAAATTAAATGTGTCTGAAGCCACCATTAGAACACAGAACTTTTCGCAGTGTTTTTAGCTTCTTGATGTAGCTCAGTCAGTAGGGCATGAGGCTCTTAATCTCAGGGTCATAGGTTTGAGCCCCACGTTGGATAAACTAGATGGTTGGACTAGATGAGCCTCTTGGTTCCAATTCTACAGTTCTATGATTCTATGTGCAACTATTATGCCCCACCACACTAAGTATTTTCTAAATTCTAATGCCTCTTACTTTTTATTCCAGTTCCTATACAAGAATACAAACTCGGCCCTCCAGATGTTTTGGGACTACAACTCCCATCATCCCTGACTGCTGGTCCTGTTAGCTAGGGATGATGGGAGTTGTAGTCCCAAAACATCTGGAGGGCCGAGTTTGCCTATGCCTGTTCTAAGATCTCTCCCTTCTCCTTCCACCCCAATTTTAAGGTTGCAAAGAAAAGTAAGATTTAAAAAAACAAAACAAAAAAGGCCAAATGGCAAGAAGGACCTGGTCAGAATGATTAAAAGACCTATAGTGGGGAGAGAAATACAGCCAGAAATGGTAACTACTAACCAGTATGGAACTCTGATTTGGAGAGAGTAGGTTGTTTTGTATTTGCTCTGCAATGATGCAGTCTGGGGTACGGGAGGATGCTTAGAAGAGGGAATGGTGACTACATAAATCCATATATTGGATGCAGGTCTGCTTTCTCTGAGACCCAGGTACCCAAATCATCATCCTCTTGCAACTCCCTACTGCTTTCAGCCAGGAATACGGATAAAGTGATTTGTTAGAGCCATGAAGACCACAGTATGAATTGGTGTAACAGCTGCTGTGAAAAAGAGGCTGCCTGTAAATTTAAGAGGCTCTTTTATTTCTTTAGCTGGAATAGAAGTGGAGCAGCATTTATGTCCTAGGAAAAACTGGGTGTGTTGAAGGTGACCAGTCCTGTATGCCACTCCTTCCCCCAATGGCAGACATTTGTGAGAAACTGGTTGGCTGAATTGCACCCACACCATTCATGCACCCATGCGCGCGCACGGCTCTTCCCAGAAGAGATCCTGTGAGGTCATGGGCACCAGCTTCCCGTTAGCTTCAAACATACAACAGCTGCTATAGCACATTAAAATTAACTCGGCAAAACCAGGAAAGAAAGGGGAGGGGGACCATGACTGATGTGGATTCCCGCTCTCTGAACAGGCAGCTTTCGGTCATTATTGATGACACATCCCTCATTATAGCAGGAAAACCCCATGTTTTCTTCACATTTAAGTGGCTTCCATTGACTTCTGTCTGCGGAAACCCAAATGAAATTCTCTTTGATACAAACAGAGCCCTTGTGTACACGCATATGTACTCATGAGGATGTTTGTCTCATTGAGATCACTGGAATATACCCACTGAATCCATATACTCTCCCATGTAAATTTGGGGGCACTCAGAGGTGCTTTTAAAAGGGAAAAACATATTGGGAACTCTGGTCACAGATCTCAACTTAGATTCTCCTTCAAAGTCTGCTCTACGTTTTATGATGGTGTCACTGGTGTGATAGGAGAATTGAGTGTGCATTCATTTTGGATGAGTTCCATGTTTCTTTTAGTGTATCATTTTATTAATCTGTATTTTTTCTTCTTCTCCAAAAGCATCTGTGGCATGTTCCACCTAGTTCTCGTCTCCTCTCTTTCTGCTCTGTATTTGTACATGATCATGTATGCTTATGTAAAGGTAAAGGTGAAGGACCTCTGGACGGTTAAGTCCAGTCAAAGGCGACTATGGGGTTGCAGCGTTCATCTTGCTTCAGGCTGAGGGAGCCGGCATTTGTCCACAGCTTTCCAGGTCATGTGGCCAGCATGACTAGACCGCTTCTGGCGCAACAGGACACTGTGATGGAAACCAGAGCGTACGGAAACGCTGTCTACCTTCCCGCTACAGCGGTACCTATTTATCTACTTGCACTGGTGTGCTTTCGAACTGCTAGGTAGGCAGGAGCTGGGACAGAGCAATGGGAGCTCACCCCGTTGTGCGGATTCAAACCGCTAACCTTCTGATCAGCAAGCCCAAGAGGCTCAGTGGTTTAGACCACAGCGCTACCTGCATCATGCCCCACGCAGTGCAGGGGACTGATCTAAAGAATTCCGGATCTAGGTTTATGATTGGTTGCTGTAATGAGTTCCATTCTGAAACGAGTGCGATACTGTTAATGCCTCCAGAGTGTCTTATCAGAACTTTAGCAAGTTCTCATGATACCCTTTGATACTGGTTGGGAATTCATGCTGTGTATGATTTATGTTGTCATTTGCCAGCCTCTCCCATAGGGGCAGATGCCAAATTCTCCATTTATTTCGGCCTACAAGGCCTGGATTCAAGTGTTTCCCTGCTATGTCCAATTCACCTCTACATCCCAACTTCTAGTAATAGCTCAACCTTCTCTTCTTCCAGATTCCCAGACTCAGGGGAGGAAACAACCAAGTTCTACAATAAGTGAGAGAATGTGCCCCCCCCCTTTTTTTGGATCACAATGCAGTGCAGCAGCAAAGCTTTGCTGCCCATTTCCTGTCAGAGACAAATAGCTTCCCTTCCGTTGATAAGCCATGCAGACAACAGTATACGTATTCTCAATATTCTGCCAGCCTTCCCTACTTTTTCCTCCCTCTACTCTCAGTTGACCCTTCTGGTTACAGTGTGTTACACTCCTCTTTCTTTAAAAATATTTAAGTGTCTCATTTGACAGTAAACTCTTTCAGGGTGGCTTACAATAAAACACAGAAATAATGGTTAAAATGTTGATGAATAAAATATTGGGAGGATACCAGCAACAGATAAAACAAGCAGCCCACCCACAATCACAACAACAGAATCAAATCCAAGAGCAAAAGCATAATAATAATTGTAATAATAGTTATGATAAAAATCTTCAAAGTAAAGCTGCCGGGGGGGCGGGGGTGGGGTAAAGTCTTAGGGTCTTTTGAAAAGGCCTGTAGTATTGTGTCTGGTGGAGCCCAGTAGGCAATTACGGTAATTCCAAAGCCATGGAGAAATCCTTCTGATTTATAGACCTGGGGTCCATAATGTGACTGTACGGTTCTTGCCTCCAGCCACAATGCCCAGCACTGACACTCAGAGTGTAGGGGCTTCTGCATTTAGTTTTCAGTGTCTCTGATGTAATCCATTGTTTATCAAGGATGTAGTCTTAGCCATCCTCTGACTTGGTCTTTAAAAAAACATTTGAAGGGCATTCATCAGCCTGAAAACTCACAGTAAATATGTGCCCAGAAGCCCTGATCAATTGTGTTTACTGTGTTATAACGGATATGCAAATACCCTTCAAATATAAATGCCCTTCAAAACAACAGAAGCATCATTACTGATGAACTACCTAGCAGCCCTTGTCTAGAGAATAATTGTACTTAGGATCGTGGCACCAGGTTCCTTTCTTATCTAGACACATAGACCCACATGCATTATGCTCCTGGTCCCTCTCACAAGACCAGGGGATGGAGACCAAGATAGGTGGAGTCAGGGCAGAACCTGGTAGGTTGGGTAAGCTTGAGTCACCCCACTTCCCTGAATGAGCACTGTTAGGTTTCCGGGGCAGAAAAAGGTTTTACCCCCTGGTCCCACTACCTTCAAGAGAACAAAAAAATAAATAAATATGGCATTTTCTCATCTGTATCACTTAAAATGTATTTCCTTTCAAATTTGGCCACTCACTTCCCTTGATCTTGCACCTCTGGCTTCTGGCATGGCTCAGTGGTAGAACATCTGCTTGCATGTAGAAGGTCCCAAGTCCATTCCTTGCCATCTCTAGGTAGGGTTGTGGGCTTATACATAGTATAAGGCAGCTCCGTATGTTCTTATCTGCCTGAAATGAGGTGAAATAATCCAGTTTAGAAGCAGTTGGGTAGTAACTCTACTCATAGACTACAGTTGCCTCGTTTTATAATTATAATTTAAGGGTTAAAATTAAGACCCATGATTCCTGGCCTTCCCCCACTTTTGTGCTCACGGATGACATTTGCTTTTCAGATTTTGCTAAGTAGAGAAAGCAGTGCCCTCTGGCTGGAAGCACAACACTGTAGTTGATAGAGAAGTCTGTTTTCTTTTCCATTGATCCCTCCCTTTTTGAGAAGGTGGCCTGGTTAAAGGCTGCTATTTTTTAATTATTTTTTTAGCCAAACTGTGGGTCACCAGATGTGGGACGTAACAACATCAAGAGGCTTTGATGCTTTCTTTCCTTCTCAGCTGCCATGCTCTTTATCAGGCTATCCAACTGCCCTCCGTTGATCTCCCGGGGGCAGTGGTCAAAACCTTGGCCTGAGATCATAAGAGAAATATACACACACCTCACCCACTGTCCTGTCTCTGATCTCAGGAAGTGCTCAGTAAGGTTTTGGGAAAGAGATGGAAACATAAACATGCTATTACTCCCAAAAGTAGTGAAGTTGCTAATGCTGAAACATTTACCTTTTAATCCTCCAGAGATGGAACTGAGGTGTGCGTGTGTATGTGTGCGTGCGTGCACACTAAACCACTTGGAAAGCTTTCTTGAAGTTCCAAAAACACTTTGAATTAGATCTGAGAAAGGTCAGCGGCAAATGTGTGTGCTCATGGCTTCATTTTCTCCATCAAGTCACTGCTTACTTTATTTCCATTTTGCTTTGCTCTGGTCACAGTGGGGAGGAGCACAGCCTAGCAGCACCTCATGACTCAGCATTTGCATTGGCAACAGAGGCATGCAGAAGGAACAAGAGACCATAATCTTGAATTGGCACCATCTGTTATCAACACATGCACTTTCTTCATTTTATTTGTTAAGAGATTTATTTGCTGCCCTTGACCAAAAATAGTCACAGAGTAGTTTACCAGAAAAAAGGCTTAACGCCGCCCCCCCCAAAAAAACCCACTTGGTGAAGGGTGGGGGACATCTTGTCCCTTTTCTTAAAGCATTTCCAGAGAACCTCTTTATTGAGCATTCATCTTGATTTGTTTGCAGGGAGATTAGGCAATGCTGGCTGTTTAATGAACATTTATTCTGATTTGTTTGCAAGGAAGTTAGATGACGTTGTGTGTCAAAACAAGTAATGTCTCACACCTTCCAGCGCATTTGCCCGTCACTTTTACCTGCTGCAAAAAAGTCTGA